GCCTACATGACACGTTAAAAAGTTGGATGCTTGATGTGTATTTTTAATGCACTAATTTTTATTTACTATTCCTACTCTATCGCATCTAAACAACACCTTACAGGCATTGAACCTGATTAACTATAGTATTGTTTTGATAAGCAAGGGAACCGAATTCAAGGGGGGCGATAGTGAATTGACATTATAATATTTGATTATAGGTTATAATGAATTGAAGAAAGCAATAAAATGGGGGGGTTTTTTATCATTAAAAACTCAATTAAATCAAAAACTAAACTAACTAGAAAAACTGATTGGAAACGAATCACTTCAAGTACTTTGATTTAGATCGGATTACATCTCCAAATCATGGTTAACTACTTAAGTGCAATGATTATTCATTAATTATTCATTGATTCCTAATATGACTTGTATCATGATTAGACTACTAATCATAATGAATCTAAAGACTCTTGATTTCATCATCATGCTATTAATTATCCATAAATTGATTGTGGACTTCGTATTAAGCAAATTTTAATGTTTATTATTCCTAATGATCATAGGAATAAAATCATTAATAGAATGATCATCTACTCATGCATAGACATTAAAGTTCATAACTTTAGTATCCTAACCTTAGATTTTGGTCCAACACTAGTCACAATTACCAATGATCATGGATAACTATGATTCAAATTAATATAGCTAGAATTGTCATCTAAACTCTATTAATTCAGTAATAGACAATAAAGTAATAATCTTTAACACATACGGATCTTTAAATCAAACTTGAAAAAATAAATTAAACAATAATAAATATATAATACAAATACCAAATTCATCCATAATCTCAATGATTTGTCTAGTATAATACAAAGCAATAGGTTTTTGAAACCCGAAATAAAAAAGTAAAACACGGATAGAATCACATAGAATGTTAATCATGGTCAAAACTGAAAATTAAATGATTCCTGTTAGGAATCAACTCTCGAATCCTTCGCATATTCACTCCAAATCAACTTAGCGGCCCTTCGGCCGCCTTCTAAACCTTCAAAATGACACTTCTAGTTTTATTTTCGCAGGGAACAAATTAGGGTTGAAAGTATGTCAATAGGGCTAATTTCTGGATCTATTTATAGGTTTCAATGCCGCACGACATGGAAAAAGACTTTCCACACCAAGGAAGATGGAATCTTCACGTACACGAATTTTTTTGATTTTCCATGCTGTGGAAATGTCTTTGGCACGACATGGGTACTGGGAATCTGAATTTTATACAAACATGAAAGTCATCTAAAATTTTGTCTAGTTTTCAGAACATCTTGAATCCCCTCGATCAGAGTTACGAGTCATCAGATATGGTCAAAACACTGAAAAGAGATCAATGTGCCAATAACATTATTTTTGCATCTTTTTCATCTCTGTTTGCATCCTTTTGCATCTCGCCTCCCATTTAAACTATAATTAAACATTTCAAAGCATATTAAGTATCATATATCTTAAAATGTAATACTTTTACTCAAATTTATTAGGATAATAGCCTAAAATATATAGTTAAATAAAGTCATATCAACGCTTCATGTCTACTTGACACACCGATGCTCTTGTTTATTCCAGTTATGGAGGTATTACATGTTGCGATAGAAGATTTAGTAGCAATAAATCCTTTTCATGTTGTGAACATGGGTAGTAGAAATTTGACTTCATCTCATACTTCTGTGCAAATGATGTGTTGTTTCTAGGTGAGCGGCCATATCACAATACTACAAGTATTGTTAGTGTTTTTAGATGCTTCTATTTAGATTCTAAATTGAAGCTAAATTAGCATAAATCTAGTTTGTTTGCGTTTAGAGTTCCATTTGATGAAGTTGTTGACTTTTCTAACATCATTAGATGCAAACTTGAGAACTTGAATTTTGTATACCTTGTAATCCTGGTGGTGTGCCATATGCCAAGGCTTCAGGTTTGTAAGCAATTATAGATTGCTTTTTTAAGTTGTATGAAAAGAAGGTAAAAATGCTTTCTGTTGGTGGTAGATTTATGTTGCTTAAGTCGGTATTGGGATTTCTAAGAATCTATTATATGTCAACTTTTATGATGTTAGATTTTGTTTATAAGATTCTTGAGAAACTTGGAGCTAAGATTTTTTTGGAGCGGAGATTATGAAGACCATAATATAACTTGGTTCAAATGGGATGTTCTTTCATATAAAGAAAAAGGCATGTCTAATATCGGTAGTTTGGTGGGTATAATCACATGTTTCTTCAGAAGTGGAGATGGAGGTTTCTAATGGAAGATAGAGTTTCATCAAGGCATTTTGTGGTTTTTTGTACATTGGGCAATTTATGGGTGTGGGTTTTGGCCTAAAATCCCCGGTGCTACGGGTAAAATGCACGAAAAGGGTATAATCTTTCATAGTACTCTTACAAGAATGTGTGGCATTGTACGTATACTTTATTTTTGAATGGTGTGGGTTGGAGATATTCCTATTTTTATCATATTTTCTAAGATTTATAAACATTGTGTAGTTATTAATCGCATAATGGATGATGATGGTCTTAGAATTGGCATAGATGGAGTAGAGGAGAGAGAAAGAAAACCATGTTTTGGGTCTTCTTCTTTTACTTAAACAAATGCATTTTTCTTGATAAGGTGACATGTGGCTTTGGGATTTGGATACCTCACAGGAGTTCTTAGTTAATGCTACAAGCTAGAAAGTGGATCGATCAATATTTGTTACCGGTTGTAAATACTCCATCTAGATCGAATCGTGTCATTCCTATCAGGTATTGATGAGTATTGTTTATTGGAAGTAAATACTCCCAACTAGACCGATTTAATGTATCAAGGCATTGATGTTCTTGTGGTATTTTGCCTTTTTTGTTCAGATTACATGGAGGATCTTGATCATATTTTCTGTGAATTGTGAAGTGATCGCTAGAACTTATAATGACATTTTCGGACTTTGAGTTAGCTTGGTATTCGGTATATTTGTAGATATGATCTCGTGGATAAATACCATTCCGTTTCCAACTCACAAAAATTCTACTCTTGAAGCAATTGTTGTCGCTGTTTGTTCGATGTTTTGGCGTTATTGATCCATCAACTTTGGTGTTAAAAAAAGGAATAATATAATACTAGAGTCTATAAAAGAGATCTCTTAGGTGCTTTGACAGTAGTATATTATTAATTGGGTTTGTTGACATCAAAATCTTGTATGTTTGGAGGAAGTTTAGGGGTAAAGAAGTGGGAAAATGACTTAAAAGGGTAATAATGTTTCAAAAACGTACAAAAAACACCATTATTCTTTTTTTAGTGAAAAAAATACCATTAAACCGGAATTTTTGTACAAAAAATACCAACAAAGTACAAATAACCTTTTAGATGACCTGAGGTAACCGGTTACCTCAGGTGAACTACTGAACGTGCGTGCTTTAATGACCTTCATCCATCAAATTAGGGTTCCATCTTCATCCCCTTTCTTCATCTCCTTTGGCTCCTATGGCATCTTCAAGTTCATCGAATTATTCTAAGTCAAATTCGAACATTTCCAAGAGCAGGAGCACAATCGATTATGCCCACCCTTGTCACTGTGAGAAGCCTTCCCAAGTTTGGACCTCGACTATGACTAATAACCCGGGTAGAAAGTTCAGAGTATGTCGTAACTCACTAGTAAGTGGTTCTAGCATCTATCATCTACTTCTTCTTCATACTTAATTTGTTATGTGAATTTTATTATGTATATTGAAGGATAAGAAGAAGAAGAAATGTGATTTCTGGGAATGGGTCGATCAAAATGACGAACTAATAAAAGAAGACAACACTGAAGTCAAGATATCAATATTGGAAAATAATTTTTGGACACATAAGGTGAAGGCAGATAAAGAATCAATGAGTTTCAGAAAAGACTTGGATAAATTAACTAGGAAATATTGGAATCTCAAATGTTGTATGTTGTTGTTCTTTGTTATGTTTTGTATGTATGTTATGTTGAAATGAAATGGAAATTGTAATGTAATGACTTTGGTAATGTATTTAGAAAGTTTGGTTAACTAAAAGTCTTGTGTTGGAATTGATTTATTGGTTACTGCTTAATACTGGAATGGAAATAGTGATTCCTGAAATGGAATGGATTTATTGGTTATTGCTTAATATTGATTCTTCACACAGGATTGGAATTAATGGTTCCTGATTAATTATCTTTGTGTATATAGAAATGAAATTAATGATTTTTGGTTAATTGTCATTGTGATTCTTGGAATGGAATCATTGATTCCTGGAATGGAATGGAAATATTGATTACTGCTTAATATTGATTCTTCACACAGGATTGGAATTAATGGTTCCTGATTAATTATCTTTGTGTATATAGAAATGAAATTAATGATTTTTGGTTAATTGTCATTGTGATTCCAAGAATGGAATCATTGATTCCTGGAATGGAATGGAAATATTGATTACCAAACCACACATTGGAATGGCCTTGTCCAGGAATTAATGATTCTTGGTTTATATATTGGAATGGCCACATATTGGAATGGAATTAACTATTCTTGGTTTATATATTGAAATGGAATTAATGATTCTTGGTTTATATATTGGAATGGCCACATATTGGAATGGAATTAACTATTCTTGGTTTATATATTGAAATGGAATTAATGATTCCTGTTTTATACAATGGGATAAAGTTGGACCACATATTGGATTGGCCTTGTCTCTGTCCTTGTCCATAAATATAAACACACACATTACCAAACCACATGCATTATCTAAGTGGGACCACATACATTAAATATACACATTACCACATACATTAAATATACACATTACCAAACCACATACATTATCAAAATACACATTACACCTAATCACATGTAGCTTCAACAGTTTTTAAATTAAATGTAAACAAGACATCAAAAGTTGTGCCTAACAAAAGATTCCCTACTAAAAGTTGTCCTGCACTTACCAAAAGATTCCCTAAAAAAAGCTAACAAAAGTTATCCCCATTACTGCTCCTAGAGTGTTACAGGATTTTCAAGACTTCCCCCTGTATCATCCTTGGTCACCACCTTCCTCCTCAACCGAAGTTTTATGTTCCTCTGAGAAGGACCACACTTTCTCCTTTTCAAAGTTGGAGCAACCACATGATGATTCACCACTTCTTCATCAACTAGTTGTTCAACCTGCATCTCTAAATCATCCTCTGAATCTCCTTCAACTTCTTTCCCTGAATCACCTCCAACCTCATCCTCTAAATCAACTCCAACATCCTCAGCTTCCCCATGGCCTTGTCCCTGTCCTTCTCCCTGTCCTTGCCCTTGACCCTGCCCCTCACCCTCAAATAGCTCATGGTAATCAAAGAGATCTGAATCATCTACTGCATTAAGCTGTTTCAGAGGACATTTCCTCTTGTTATGACCTGGTTGGGAACATAAATTGCATTTAGAAGTGGTCCCAACTTTGCTGACAGTGTGTCTGTCACTTCTTTCTAAAATGCATTTCTTCCTGTTTGTCTTTGGTCTGCCAGGCAATCTTCTACGCTTTGGTGGTAAGATGGTATTCATATCATTTGCTGGCCACATTTCATGTCCATTAATTGGCTTAACATTATACTTGTAGCAGCTTCCAAACATTTGTGTTGTGTACCAATTTTCTACATACTCCTCTATATTCCCATTCAAGCACAAGATTGCAGAAATAGCATGTACACATGGTATACCTGTCAGCTACCATGATCTACATCCACATGTTCTTTTATGTAAGTCAACTGCATACACCTCATTCAACCATCTACTCTCATATTGATGAAAACCACTTGGAATTACTCCCCAAAACCTGTTATGAAATGTAACATATAAGTTATGTAAGTCAACTACATACACATGTTATGAAATGTAACATATATGTATGTATGTATATATATATATATATAATGTATAAATACCTCTGTATTTTCTTCATGTCCTCAATCTTCCTTCTTATTGAGGGACAAATGTCCAAGTTCCACTTCAGTCCCTTCCTTTTCTGAGTAAACATCCTTTCCATCACATACACTCTAATGTCTTCCAACATTGCTATTATTGGTTTTTTTCTAACTTCCACAATAGCTGCATTAAATAACTCTGATACACCATTTTCAATGGCATCACTACCACTATCTTCCCTAAAAAATGCCCTGGGCCATGTGTTTGGGTTTTTTTCCATCAGGTGTTCATAGGCAGTATTGTCAATCAGTTTGATCTCCTTCATGATGTCTTCAAATTTTGTGGTTGTTGTGGCCTTGGCAGCAAACCAGAAAAGTCTCCTATATTCTGCTCCTGAGAATTTTTTCTTGAAGTTAGCATAAACATGCCTGGCACATTGTCTATGCTCACATTCTGGCACTCTTTCCTTAACTGCTTCAATCAGTCCCTATTAAGTAACATTTTGATGTCATTATAAGTTAAAAATAAAATAGAAATACTATTATGAAAAAACAGTTGAGTACCTTGTGTTGGTCAGATATGATGGTTAGTCCTCTACCTTGTCCCATATCAATGTCTTCAAGTAATAGATCCAAAAACCATTTCCAATTTGCCTTATTTTCAACTGGTACAACAGCCCAGGCTAGAGGATACATTTGGTTATTAGCATCCCTACTAACAGCTGAAACTACCTCACCTCTACAAAGTCCCTTTAAAAAACATCCATCTACACCAATCACTCTTCTACACCCCTCAATCCAACCATCCTTCACAGCTTTCAAGCAAATATACATCTTAGAAAAATGGACTGTAGATTCAGGCATGATATCCACATCCAATTTCACTGTGGAACCTGGATTAGTCCTCAATAACTCCAAACCATAACTTCTAAGCTTTTCATAGTGTGCCACCAAGCTCCCTTCTATCTCATCCATTGCAAATTTTTTGGCATTTCTACACTGTCCAAAACTAACTTTTAGATTAAAATCTCTAAGGACTGCTGCTGCCATTTTCCTCTAACTAATTCTTGGATTATCTATTATGGTTTCTATTAACTGTTTTCCAATCCAACTATATGTGACCATTGAACCTAAATTTAAGGCCCTACTACAATTATGTTCAGAGATTAAGGTCTTAATCTGAAATGATCTTTCTTTACTCATCCAAGTTGCCCACAACCTAAAAGGGCATTTAGACTTCTCTTCACCTTTGCAACATCTAACTAATAATCTTGTTGAATCATTTTTTTCATACCATAGTTTATACCCATTAGCAACAGCATAATTACTTAACAAATGCTTAAGTTCATAACGATCACAGAATTTCATACCTAAGATTGGAGACATTGTATCCCATTTTTGGTTAGGATCATGAACTGGATACTTATGAAGATTTTTCTTGACATCTTTCTTATCATCTTTCTCATCATCCACAATTCTTGGAGGCTTGAAAAATTTTCTTCTAATGAAAGGATCATCAGATGGCTGTAGTTGTATCACTTCATCATCAGGCTCATGCTCCACGAACTCATCATCTGAAAGCTCAGAGTCTACATCATCATCATCCGTATTACCATCTACTGATCCATCTTCAGCTATCTCTTCTTCAATCCACTCCATTACTGGATATTGACTGTGATCAATGTACAAATTGATCATACCCCCATTCTCATGCCCAACATCAAGGAAACGAACATAATCATTTTCATCTTCCAAGACTCTTAACGCATCTCTCAGTGAACGTTGTGGAAGACAATAGTACACATTGATTGTTCCATCCTTGACCAAGTTCTTCACATACGAGATGAACTCCACGAAACTCATGCTTCTGACATCGACATTGCTAACAACCATTTTTACTGGATTGAAATACACAATCGGTTTGGGGAGAAAAGAACCTGTATGATTTACTTCGATTGTGAACTTCGAATCCATTGTGATTTTGTGGAAAGGATGAACGAACGAAGTAGAAGGAAAAAAGGAACCCTTGATTTTGGGGGAAATAACGAAGGGTAAGGGCACAATTATTCTAATAAATCTTTTAACCGGCTAACCTATAATATCCGGTTTAATGGTATTTTTTTCACTAAAAAAAGAATAATAATGTTTTTTGTACGTTTTTTAAACATTATTACCCTTTTAAGTCATTTTCCCTAAAGAAGTCCATATCCTTTGGGTAAATTAGATTAATGTCTTTCTACCTTTATTTTTATATAATCTTTTTGGCACTCTCTTGTTTTTGCCTGTGTCTAGTGATTTGCTAGGCACGGGATGTTTCTTAATATATTCTCGTCGGTTCCAAAAGGAACTTCTTTGTAATTCGTATTTTTTTAATGTTCAGCCGTTCAAAAATTATGTTTTATATTCACACGACGAAGTGACCACACTAAGCTAGTGTGGCGTGGCCCTGTTGGAGACAAGATAAAACTTTGCAGATTGGATACGTAAGATAATGAGGGGGATGTATCTTCTACTTGTCTACATGGTCGATTCTAAGCCTTACCATTCGTTTTCGTTATGATTATAATTACATTGTACCACCCACACAACAAACCATATCATTGCCTCGCCGAACTTCTTCCACAATTGTCAACATCGATCCGGAACATATCTAAATTAAATAGGTTAGCTTTAATAATGTTCATTCGTATTTACAATATATATATATATATATATATATATATATATATATATATATATATATATATATATATATATATATATATATATATATATATATTAGGGGTGTGCAGAAAACCGCACAAACCGCATAAACCGCCCACACCACACCGCACCACACCGCATAACGCGGTTTCGAACATTCGCGGTGCGGTTTGTGGTTTCTAATTTTATCAAACCGCACTACGCAGTGTAGTTTACGATTTTTAAATATGAAACCACGGTTCAAACCGCACCGCAACACACACACACATATATATATATATATATATATATATATATATATATATATATATATATATATATATATATATATATATATATATATATATATATAAAACCAATTGCTCATACATGTAAATAAACGAAGCACAAATTGAAGATTGAAGGATGCAAGATATGGATTGAATTGATTTCATAACTAAGATGAAGTTTTTATTTCATTCAAATTATTGATAATTCTGTAATTTAACTTCTGTATGTGTCATTTATCATAAACATTTTTTTTGTTAATTCTTTATATGTTTTTTTTTATTATATCGTATAATACTTTTATAACATATATATAATTCTTCAAACCGCACCACACCGCCTAAAACCGCACCGCACCACATAATGCGGTTTACATGGTTCGCGGCGCGGTTTGTGGTTTTCGAAAAACTCAAACCGCATATGTGATGCGGTTTTGGCTTTAAACCGCACCGCGAACACCCCTAATATATATATATATATATATATATATATATATATATATATATATATAGGATGAGGTTCAATAGAGAACCATAATTAATCAAGGAATCAAAAATCCAATCTTTTTTTTTTTTTTTTTTTAATTTTTAGAACTTATTTTTTATTCAAAAAAAAATTAAAAATACAGAAATTCATAATTTTTTATCATTTTTCCAATGATATCAATTTTTTTTTTTTAACGTCAAATTCACAATATAAATTTTTGAAAACTCACAATATGAATCCGGATTCATACGGTGAATCCGAAAAATATTTTTCGCATTCACAATGTAAATATATGAATTTAGATATTTTTAGATTTTTTTTTCGATAAAGAATAAGTTCTAGAAATTGAAAAAAAGAATTGGTTCTTTGAAGAACCAATAATTATAGTTCTCTATTGAATTTTTCCATATATATATATATATAGGTTCAAGTTCATTTAAAATCATGCTAATTTTATGAGACCGTGAGACCAAATATAAAAATAATTTTAAAATGCAAAATAAAAGGAAAAAATCCAAAAAAAAAATTTAATTATAATTTTCGGAACTTTATTTACCTAAAAAAATAAAAATAATAAAAAATAAAAGAAAATTATCGTTTTTTTTTAAAAAAATACGTAAAATATTCTAATAGAATATTACACTGTACATTTGTAAAATGATTTTTAGAATATTTAGAATATTCTACTAGATTTGACAGATATGTAGAATATTCTAAATATTCTACTCAAATATGTAAAAAATATATATTTTGTATTTAATTTTTTTATTTTTTTATTTTTTGGAAAATATATATTCTGAAAACAATATTGGAAATTTTTTTTCGAAAATCTTCAATTATTTTGCATTTTAAAAATGTTTTTGTTTCATCTACTAAATGAGCGGCTAGGATTGCGTCTCACGGTCTCACAAAATTAGGTCATCTCACATGAACCTAACCTTATATATATATATATATATATATATATATATATATATATATATATATATATATATATATATATATAGAAAGAGAGAGAGAGAGAGAGAGAGAGAGAGAATCGGCAAATAACCAAATTTGGGGGTATGTTTTAACCTTTTAACAATGAAAATTAAAGTTTTGAAAAATGACCATAGGATCTGCAGAGGGTGCTCTGCGGATGGACTAAAGCCTCTGAGGAACCGGAACACCTTTGCGGATCTTGGGTTTTTTTAATTTTTAAAATTTTTGTTTTTGTTTATTAATGTCATTTTTTAATACAATAATACCTTATGTGATTATGATGTAAAAAATTTAACAAAAAATGTTAAAAATAATGAACTTATGTTTAATATCAATCCACAGAACTGTGTGGGAATCCACAGAATTGTTATCAGCGGATCAGTGTATACCTCTGCGGATCAGTGTACACCTCTACAGATTAGTGTATAAATTGTCATAATGGTTAAATATTGTATCAACTCACCCCGGTATTGAAAAATATAGAAATAGCATCCAATGCACCAACTTCTACGAATGCAACATCATCGTCCGATACTCCACGTCCATGGATGACAAGAGAGGTGATGGTTATAATACGATGTTGGTTGAACAATTTTGAAGGTGTAACAACAATGGTTACCCCTAATTACCTTGGAGGTGATGAATGGATCCATATAACAGATATGTTCAACCTCTCATTTGGACAAGGAGAATATCGGGTACAAGTAGAGATTCTTAGTAAGTGGATGGAGTTAAAGAACAAAATCACATGGTTCAATCGATGGTATCATCATCTTTAAAATAGTAGTAATTATTATTACTCAAACGAGGAAGCTCTTCTAGAAATGGTTCTAGATCTTTAAATTTTCAAGCATGAGGGAAAAGACTTCGAGTATGTGGACGCTTGGAATCTGGTTAAGAACCACCAGTATTTCATGTAGAAGGGTTTTTTATGTGAAATGTTTTATGTAATATGTTTGCTACTGATGTATGTTTTCCATGTATTTGTATTGTTTTGTATTTTATGTTCTTTGGAATAAAGTAGAAGTTAACTCAACTGGTTCCGTAAATAACCTAATACAAACCAAATGCATATAAATAACGTAATACACACCGGTGCATATAAATAACTTAATAAAAACAAACTACATTAAAATATCATTCTACAAACGCAATACAAATTAAAAATACGGGAGATCATTTAAAAGATTCCAAAGGCCTTCAAACTCGAATTCTAACCCGTCACTAATGGATATGTATTCCGCTTTAGCCGCATCTAGGATAACTTACTCATCTTCATTTGGACGTGCATCATCAATTTTGGTATAAAGATTGTTGAAAACCAAGACTTATGTTTTTAATTCATACCATTTTATTCTGATGTCAACGGTGTTACGGTAGTTTTCTGGGGCAGTTTGAGGGTCAACGTTGAAGACATAAGTTAAACGGGTCCAATAACTTGGGTTATTCAACCTGATGGTCTTGTGGATATTAATATATGTACGAGTTAGACAAAGGTTATCCTCAGCGCTCCATGGTATGGAAGTCATTATGAGGGAAAATATAAGGGTTAATTTTTCAAAAAATTGAAATGAAGAAGAAATAGTATATAATCGATGAAAGGATACACATGGTAAAGTGATTTTATATTATTTATTCCGCAAAACTATTTGGGAATCCTCATAATTGTTACAGAATCCGCAGAGTTTTTTGGTAATCCACATAGTTGTTTTTCAGTCATTTTTCTTATTTAATTACCAGTTTAAAAAAGTTGTGTGTTTAATAAAAAAAATTATACAAATATTCCATGTTTTCTTTTTATAAAATTACACACACCGGTATTTTGAATAATAAACATACTTTAAGTAGGTTACAAAACATACATTAGAAAACATAAACATACAACCTTCATAAAAAACATAGTTTGAAATAAACTCCAATCATTCAAATCGAACCACAGAAACTTTGATATGTTTTCGTATTCCAGCCATGGGTTTCTGTTGCTTGTGTCCCTAGGTTTATTGTCACTTGCATCAATTGGTTACCTGGCTCTTGCTACCATTGGTACTCGGTGCAACCCTACCATTAGTTCAATGGCTCTTCCTGCGGTTGGTATTCGGTCCCTTGCGTCCATTGGTTATGTGGCTCATGCTGCCATTGATGTTCAATCTGTTGTGTCCATTGGTTGTCTGGCTATTGCTGCCATTGATGTTCGGTCTGTTGTGTCCATTGGTTTCCTAGCTTGCATCGGTTCTTTTTTTGTTGCTTTTGTCCCACTTCCTGACGCCCCAATATGTTTTTTACTTTTACTTTGGTTATTTGGAATGATTTTCTTACACGTCTTTGCATTATGAGTTGTGTTATGACATCCACTACACCTTCTTATTTTTGGTTCCTCACCATAAGAGGGAATACGATTGGTGTTTTTTGGTCTACCGACTTGATGTATTCCATCACAGGAGGGTTAACAACCATAAGGTCATTCGGAACCTCCCAATCACTATGAAAGAGGGTATACGAATTTCTCGTACGTTCTTTGATATGTTTCAATTTTATAAGCATCTATAGCCATATGCCCACAGTGATCATTTTGCAAGTGCTTTAAAACCATTATCACATAACCACATGACAAACCAGTTAGTTGCCAATATTTGCAAGAACAAGTCTTTTCCCTCAAATTCACTATGCCGCCACTTTTGAAGTCATACACTTGATATGTTGTATTGTCAACACCGATACCGACCATCCTTGAATCCCTTCTTTATTTTTTTTTAACCGTATCTTCAACCCACTTTGTAAGTATTGATGTACTTTTTTCTGTTAAAACAAACATATATTATTATATATGACATTTATCATATAATTTAAAATTAAACATAGTCATACCTTTAGCAATACGCCGTTTGTAAAACCTTTTCTGCATAAGTGCGTGAAAGAACTCAAGAAGTGGTAATATAAGCAACTTCCTTGCTTTGTTTGATACAACATTCACGGAGTCCGCACTATTTGAGGTCATATAATCATACCTCATGGTATGGCAATACGCTCTGGTCCATTTCTCATGTGGAATTTGACTGAGATATGTCGCTACATCATCTCTTATATTACACTGTCTCCCCTAATAGAATTCAAACTCAATGGTTTTGTAAGCTCTTACCAACTTCCAAAACAAATTTTTTTTTCAAAGGTGTAGACTATGTTTCCTATTAGATGAAAACCACACAATCAATGTTGAGCATTTGCAAGAACATTTTGAATGCGTACAACAATTACGGGTGCCCTATCTGTGACCGTTGTCAGACATTCCATATCACCAATGCATTCATGTAGCTTTTCAAGAAACCGTGTCCAAGAATCCGTAGTCTCTTTTAGGAAAATTCCATACCCAATAGGCAATATCTGATTGTTTCCATACATGGCTACTACATACAAGATGATGCCTTTGTACTTTCCCTTCAAATGAGCACCATCCATAATAATAATTTTTCTACAACACTCTCTGAAAGCACGTATCTACAATAAGCCAATAACAATATAAAAACCATTAATATATCAACAATATAATTTGTTTATAAACATTTAAGAAAATAACAAATATATTTAAAAATATATTACCGCGCATCCAATAGCGAAAAATGAATACTCAAAACGATCCTTCGAATCAGTTTTATGTACGCCACAATACCAGGATTATGATTCTTCAGATTGTGAAAATAAACTGGAAGTTTGGAGAAACTTTCTTCGGGGGTCCCCATCATTAATCCTAAAGCAAATTCTCTACATGTCACGCTTGTGAATAACTCATATTTATTTGTAGCAAAGCATTCATATCTCTAATGATATCATTAAACTTCCAAAATCTCAAACTTCCTTAACCCATAATGTCATGTATTATAGTTCCCAAAATCTCAAACTTCCTTAACCCAAAATCTCAAACTTCCTTTAGGGTAAGTCCCATGTAAGGGATTTGGGCCCAATTTGGAAAATTGGGTCATAATTGGGCCTTGATTGATTATTTAGCTTTTAGGCCTCCAAAGTTTGAGTTTGGGTCTTGGTCTTGGACCAAGCTAGGTTAGGGGTAAAATAGTATTTTACCCTAAGTATGGATTTATGGTTATGTATTGGCACCCAATTCTTACTTGGTGTTGTTTTGATGTTTGATAGTTCGAGGATCTGGCATCCAGCAGCTGGGGTTTGTCTGTGTGATCCGGCTAGGGCTGTAAACGAGCTGAGTCGAGCCCAAGTCTGACCAAGCTCGAGCTCGGCTCGTGAACAATTTAGTGGGCTCGCAAGCCTAATTGATCCTAAACGAGCTTATATATATATATATATATATATATATATATATATATATATATATATATATATATATATATATATATATATATATATATATATATATATATATAGATGCTCGTTTTGGCTCGCGAGCCCATTAATTGAAGCTCGGTTCGAGCTCGTTGAATAAACGAGCCTCATGTTTAAGCTCGAGCTCGACCCATGCTCGTTTAATTCGATCTCGAGCCGAACTTTTAACGAGTCGATCCCGAATAACTCACGAGTAACTCGCTTCACTTACACCCTAACTTAAGCCACTTCATATTATTCTTTATACTATTGTTAATATTATTCTTTATACTATTTACTATTGTAGAGGGTGAGTCTAAAACTGTCCGTTTAGTCTCAGCAGGTTTCTGCCCTTCCGCCGTCGTCCCCATGATTCCTCCTCCTTCTCTCCACGTTCACAGTCGGTCGGTTGTCTCCTTCCCCAACCATTCAATTGGTTTCCTTGAAAATCGGTTTTATTGAAGAACTGCAATACACTATTGCTAGAAATCAACCACTTCCCGTTAACTGTACTGGATTCATAGCTCCACAGAAAAAACCTTTCTTCTCCACATTCGCAATTCTTCGTATTTCTAAACCGTCTAAGCAATTACCATAGGCGACTATATAATCTCAGGCAGACAACCGATCTTGCTTACTGAAAATTGAAGATTGATTGAAGATAAGGGCTTGAACCCTAATTTCATTTCTTCATATTACGAGCTCTATCTCCTGTTGTGCCTCCTATATCTCCATGGTCGTCATCAATGGCGGACTTTTCTTCAGGTATTCCCTAATTCTAACTACTAATGCTTCTTTTTGGTCTGAAATTTCCTCTGTAGTTCATATACTTCCCATCGATTTCTCTCTTCACACCATTCGAATATCAACATTTCCCCTATTTTGATTTAAGTTCCAATTTTAGCTTCTCGATTGGATAGAAATTCTTAAAGGTTAATTGGTTTTGTTTTGAGATTGTTATGATTTTCTACTTTAATAACTAATACCAAAGTGATAATTTTGATTTTTAACTTCTTATTACTTGATAAAAACTCAAATGGTAATTTCATTTTAAGACAACACCCTTCAGTTGTTCGATATTTTTTGACTTCTATTTATGAAGATTTAATTTCGTGTTTATCTGGTGTAGCAATTGCAACAATCAATTTTTAAAAGAAAAATGCTAAGATTTAGATCTATAAGGTCACCCCTAATGGTAATTTGGTCTCAGTTTTTGAACATAACATACAGATTTACATTTCCTTTTTTCACACAAAACCACATTATAGTTCATTTTTCCTTCAAATAATCAGAAAACCATCTGTCTTTCTGCAAAATCTCTATGTCCAGGACAATATTTGCAAGGGTCGTTTTTCGAAGATTTTGGCGAGATGTTTCAAGGTTTTTGATGAAAGGAAATGTTTATTTTTTTTTTTATTATTATTTTTTTAATTGGATAAAGTTAAAGGACCATTATCTGATTCATCTATAAATGGTATAAATGTAAGTGTTCATAATTTCAATGTATCACAATTAACAGTCTTCATCTTGATAAAAATACCTACTTTTCATTATAACTATTAAAAGTGCTTTGGAGATTAAAGGTAACTAAATTACAACTATTTCTATTTTTAACTTTATGATATGCATTGCTTTCACATATTTTTCTCACAATGGAGGATATCTCAAACTAAAATCGGATAATTTCTCAAAACTAAAATGAAAAGTCTCGTCACTCGCACTTGCATGGAAAAAGTTTAATATTTTTAAAATTTTTACTAAATTACTTTTATACAGTACGGATTGGTATTGAAATGATTTGTTTTTATATTGTTCAACGTGTCCACCGGATGGGTATAACACTAGTTTATAATTATTCTAAACGGTTAAAATGTAATAAATGGCAAAGGACTTATTTTTTTAAAATTTGGCGTAGTGTTAAGAAATCTCCTGAAGTGTTAATATCATAATTTTTTATATCAAAACTATTATATACTGCTTTTGATGTCATGTGCGAGTGATGAAAATTTGAGTAATTTGATGAGAAATCTTGGAAATCAAAACTCAAAATTAATGCAGGAGCGACTCCAAAAGAGGGGAAATGAAATGGAACCAGAATAGTTGAATTACTTCCAAAAGTAATTCTTATTACCGTTCATGCTTTTGCAGTTTACAATGTGCAGCAACTCAAGCTTGTCACAGAACACTGGTGATACTTGCTTTTTTTCTTATTTATGATTCTTACATTGGTTATGATTTTTATTCCTATCTATTGTTTAGGTTTGACAACAATGGTGGCAATGGAGGTTGCAGTGGCAGTGTCGGCAGCGGTGGTGGCCACCGCGGCGGAAGTGGCAGTGGCGGCAGCAGTGGTGGCAAAGGCTCTGGACGTGGTGGTGACCGCTGTGGTGGCTCTTATAGTGGTGGCGGCCACCGCAGTAGCGGTAAGAGATTGTTTTTTTTTCCTTAAATGTTTGATCTTTGCTTCATATCAACTAATCTTGCTTTAACCGCTGAAGTCGCTGAGAAATTATTTGCTGATTATGCTCTACCGCTCGGGAGAGTTGAGGTGGGAGACATTGTTGCACCACGGGCAGGGCTGCATAAAGGCAAACATCAGAGGGTTATCAATATCGAAGTGGGTAAAATGCATGTCGAACTACAGAGTAGGAGGAAGCCAGTATTGAGTTGCAAGTGTTTTAACTTTTTTTTTGTTTATTATAGAACTATGCCTTCTTATTACATAGTTAAAAGAATATTGGTCCTCAATTTCTATAGATAGCAAGTCCGCTGCTTTGGAGATCATTAAGAAAAAGCCGAAGGGTAGGTACTTGTTTTTGTTTAATTTTTATGTTAAGGTTTTTATCATATGATTTGTTCTTTTGTTTAGTGTTGGCAGCAGTTGTGGTACCAAGGTTAAACGCCACCGTGGTGGTCCTGGTGATGGAGGTGGAGGCCATGATGATCATGGTGGTTTCAGTGGAGGAGATGTCAAACGTTGCAAGCTTCACTAATAATGTAGAATTTGGAGAAAAGAATTAGTTTTGATCAAAGTGAGATCTAGTACTTATTTTATTTTTTTGTGTTCGTAATCATATTATACCCTAAACTTAGATTGTCGTTTTCTATGATCCTAAAACAATCTCATTTTTACCATTTGAATTTTGCCAAAAATCCATTTTTGACCAAAATTTCCTCATTTTATTCAATTTTTACTTGCAAAATACTTATATTGCACCATTTTTTATATGATGTCAAAACTTAGAAAACAGCTTCTAAATTATAAGCTATTTTTGGTATCATATAAAAAATGGTGCAAAATAAGCATTTTGTAAGTAAAAATTGAATAAAATGAGATAATTTTGGTTAAAAAGGGATTTTTGGCAAAATTCAAAATGGTAAAAATAGGATTGTTTTAGGATCATAGAAAACCACAATCTAAATTTAGGGTATAATATGATTAAGAACACAAAAAAATAAAAAAAATAACTAGATCTCACTTTGATCAAAACTAATTCTTTTCTCAAAATTCTACATTATTAGTGAAGCTTGGAACGTTTGACATCCCCGCCACTGAAACCACTATGATCATCATGGCCTCCACCTCCATCACCAGGACCACCACGGCGGCGTTTAACCTCGCTACCATAAGTGCTGCCACCACTAAACAAAAGAACAAATCATAAGTAAGATAAAAACCTTAACATAAAAATTAAACAAAAACAAGTATCTGCCCTTTGACTTTTTCTTAATGATCTCTAAAGTAGTCGACTTGCTATCTGCAAAAACTGAGGACCAATATTATTTTAACTATGTAATAAGAAGACATAGTTCTTTAATAAGCAATAAAAATTTAAACACTTGCAACTCAATACTGGCTTCCTCCCACTCTATAGTTCGACATGCATTTTACCTCCTTCGATACTGATAACCCTCCCATGTTTGCCTTTGTGCACCCCTGCTCGTGGTGTAACAGTGTCTCCCACCTCAGCTCTCCCGAGCGGTAGAGCATGATCAGAAAATAATTTCTTGGTGACTTCAGTGGTTAAAATAAGGTTAGTTGATATGAAGCAAGGATTAAACATTTAAGAAAAAAAAAACAATCTCTTACCGCTACTGCAGTGGCCGCAACGGCCAAAGCCTTTGCGACCGCGGTGGCCACCCCTGCCAATGCCACCATTTTTGTCAAACTTAAACAATAGATAGGAATAAGAATCATAACCAATGTAAGAATAATAAATAAGAAAAAAACCAATCTCTTACCGCTACTGCGGTGGCCGCCACCGCAACGGCCAAAGCCTTTACGACCGCGGTGGCCACCACTGCTGCCGCCACTGCCAATGCCATCATTTTTGTCAAACCTAAACAATAGATAGGAATAAGAATCATAACCAATGTAAGAATCATAAATAAGAAAAAAAACAAGTATTACCAGTTTTTTATGACAAGCTTGAGTTGATGCACATTGTAAACTGCAAAAGCATGAACGGTAATAAGAATAGAATAAGAATCATATCATCTTCTAGGTTCCTACTGGTTTTCAACGGTTATAGTGATACTAATTATTTTTTTAGTTTCAAACAAGTAATAATATCTTGATTTTGTGATTTACCTGGCTTAACATATCAATTTTCCATTATGTAGGGTTTTATTTTGAAATCCCAATTGTTCCAAGGGGCCAAGCATCTTTTTGATAATTCTTCTACAAACTTGGACCATCGAACATTTCAATTTCAAAATTTGTTAGTTTGCTTGGATGTTCGTGTTCCTGTTTACTATTTGTGTTGTTTCTCATGGTAACCGAATAATTTGGATGTAAGAAATGACAAATTACAAATGTTGAAATGACCAATTACAAAATTAAAATGAATAAACATATGGCAACATTGTTAATAGGTGGATACTGCAAGCAAATGTAAGAAAACCAAACCTTTCGAATCATGAAATAACTAGTAAGTGATTGTTTGTTATCTTATGTTGCACCTTAATTTACTATTTATAATATACTATTTATAATATGAAATGAATTATGTTTTTTTTTTTTTTTTTCTATAAGGTGTCTTTAAGCTATATTAAAAACTTGTATTCTTGATATATTACTAATACTAGGTTATAACTCGTGTGCTACACGGTTGATTTTTTTATTAATATTGTTAGCATTCCGCTTTCAGTTTTCCTTATTATAATCAAGCACTTTGAAACACGATATCTTACATGTTACGTTTAAAAATAATTAAAGTAGGTTTTATTTCTTGCTATAACAGTGACCTATCTATTTGAGTATGTATGCGGCTATGATTTACCAATAAACAAAAGTAGAATTGTATAACTGTGGTCACGTTTAATAAAGTTATAAGCAATTTTTAAATAAAAAAGACCATTTTTTCTATCCGTATTTGTAACTAATTTCTTAGGGACATCATATGTAAATTTTTAATTTATAAGGACTGCTTATGTAATTATGTATTACCAGTATATTAGTTTCTATGATGACATTTAAATTATTTTAGCATTCCACTTTCAGTTTTTCATAAACTAAACTTTCAAAATTTATCTTGCATGTAAAACTGAAAGTGGAATGCTAAAATAATTTAAATATCATCATGGAAACTAATATTCTACTAATACACAAAAGAACAAAAATGTTCCTTATAACTTAAATATTCACATATAATGTTAAACTTAAAAAATAAAAATAAAAAATAAAAATGATACCAAATTATAGTATTATACCAAAGCAAAAATACCAACGTTGTGATTTCACTACCAAAGAATCCCCCTTGTTTTGCTGAGTTTCCCAAATTACCCCTAGATTGCATCCGTCTAAGTAGCTTTTAAGTACAGAACAATTACCCTAAGCTTAAAGAAAACCAAGTAGCATTAACAAGGATGCATGACAACAAAACATTAGTCAAAACGTGTTGAGTTTTATTTATTACTTTTTATATATAACATTTAATCTCACAATGATATAAATTACAATCTTTTTTCCAAGTTAATTCATACTACCTGACATAAATCAATAACAATAAAATGATTATAATTTTGTCCTTTGAATTATCCAGACCCTTGTCATCTCATCTGAAATTGATAATATGTATTAGTAATCTGACTAGTGCACAAATCTTATTTAATGTATGGTTACCATAATATAAGGATGTGATAGACCTTTTAGTATGTAATTCAAGTCCAACCAAAATAACTATAAGTTACTATTCATCGCTTTGGACAAAGATAACATGTTGGGAAACTGGAAACGATACAAGATTACATTGAACCATAATGGTACTAAGTATTAAAATCATGTTATCATCCATCCTGTATATTGATAACAAATTTGCAGGCATACCAAATATACACATATATACAAATATGGTTTACAGAGAGCGAGAGAGACGTCAAATACATGTTTATCATTATCCATCACATGAGAAAGGGAAATTGATACCAGATGAGAGGTGATAGTAGTGAACTTGGGTCAAGCTTTCTTTGAGACACTTCGCCAAACACTTCGGGTGCTTCTTCTATAACCTGTAATAAAACTGGAAAATCGTCTTTTTGTATTTAACCTGGGAAGAAAACAGCCAATGCTTCTCAAGTCCATAACATAATTAAAAAGGTTACACATCAATGGGTATACCTAAGAAACTAAATATAGTAAAATCCAGAAGGAGATGAGACTTTTGTGGGTGAAACAACTCTGGGAAATAATGAAATATTTGGTATCTGTATGAATTGTGATTTATATATCATTAATGTATCGACTTACAAAATAGCTAAAATCAGAAAATCAACGAATTGATTTGTATACCAACGAAGCCCTAAAACAAAATTTACGATTGTGTGGTGAAAGTAGCATTTTGATTAGATGAAGCTTGGTTGTCTATAGAGAGTGATGATGGCCGATTAGGGAGATTGAGCATTACTTCTTTTGTTTTCTAAGCTAAATAAAATAGTCATGTGAGAGTGAAAAGGGTTACGAACGAGAACCATTGGACTCCACCATGTCAAATTAAAACCCTAGATATAGAGAAAATTGGGAATTCGTGCCAAGATTTTGGTTGGAATTTTGAAATCCAATTAAAATTTTAGCAGATTTTATGGGATTTGAGGAATTGATCGGAAAAGATTTAGCGTGGAGAAAGCTCTAGAAAAACGACACTTGTCAAAAGCTCCAGAAGAAATGACCCTTGGCATAAACGACTATTCTTTTATTAGGTTATTAGGTGTAAGACTCATTTATTACATGAGTTAGTTAAAAAATATATATAAATCCCCTAATCTAATAAATAAGTATTTTTTTGCCATGTGGCAATTCCTAAGCACCCAGTCGAATTTTCCCGCTCTAAACATCAATGTGTTTTTCCATCTTTGCCCTTTCAATCGAGGATATAACCTGTTCCTACTTTTCAGCAGAATGAAATAAGGTAATTCCATAATCTACTTTCCTGATTTTGTGGAGAAATTTGAATTTTTCTTTTGATTAATTTCGGTTTGATACGAAAGATGCATGAAATCAACAATAATTCATCACATCAACAAAAAATCAGGAACTCAAAATTTGATTCGATTCTGTAGATCGTCTTCATGACTTCATATATTTTAGGTGTTTTAAACGATATTGGAATGAAGAGTAGATAGAGAGAGCGATTGAAATCTCTACGTAGGTGTCTATGGTAAAAAAAAAAAGGGGTAGAAAGGTATCCAGCAGCAGCAGAAGGAGAAGGAGATCGGTAGGGGTGGGGAAAAGGATTACCTCAACATAGTCAGGTCAGCCAATTGCTTTTCAAATCTCAATATGTATGTGTTTGATTTAGGAATTATATGCGAAAACATCATGCAAATCATCTTTAGTTGGTTGTATGATTAGACTGTTCAGATTGTATTTTTTGTTTGAAATGCACTAGATATGGATTATCGAGAGAAAAAGGGAAAAGAGTCTTCAATTTTTTGGTCCCAGCAAGCTTGAAGAGAAGAAGGTAAATTAATTGCTTCAAATTAATTTTATTTTCCA